AAAAACCTAATCTTGAAGAAAACTCGAGTTTACGGAGAATTGATGTACAGTATTCAACGCGACAACTGGTTGCTCCAAGGGCTACTTAACGCTTCAGCAAAGAGCACGACAAACCTAACTTTAATTTAACTCAACTTTCAGTTAACTTTCAAATTTCCTTTGACTTGCGGATTGAAAATTAGATGAAGCCATGATCCTCGCAGGTGAACTGCAACCTGACATTAGAATCTATATGGGCTTAAAAACATTCTTCCCTCTCCGCAGCGAGACATTTACCAAGTTCTTTTCATAGAACCTGCAAACTCATCGCGTTCACTCTATGGGAGAAACGAATCTCAAGGGCCTTTACAAACTCCGGTAGAGTATTCTGGAACAAGTAGTTGATCTGAATAAGATGTATAGACACTCGTGCAGAAAAAACTCAGTTAAGAAGAGTTTTTACTCAACAGAGTTAGGAAGAATTATCAAATAGTGTACATACCAAGCAAGCAGCTCTCCACAGCTTTCAGTCGAGAGTTCAGAAGCGAAGAACCTTTTTGTCGTTCACTGGGTTTGCAAATCAGAATACTCTCGCCCAAGGCATCGACCCCTTTGCGACCTGCGCGGCCAGCCATCTGTTTGTAGACCAGTGCATCCACCAACTTCCCATGAAACATTGGGGTACGAATGATTACACGACGGGCAGGAAGATTCACGCCTAGTAATTATTACATATTAAAAACCTGTTTAGCAGACCTTTGAAATAGCAGAGTCATACATTAGATTTGTCACTCATCTAACAATATGTAGCACAGCCTACTCCGCAAGACATCTTGCACCGCTTATTGACTAAAATTGTTGATAATTTCTAAATGAAAAATTGCGTCGGAATGCAAAAATCTTGACAATTTGTGCAAAAAAATACTCTTTGTGCGACAACAAACATACTTCAACTTAAATATTTTGGTTTTATCAAATAAGTTGATAATGTGAATTGGCCATCGAGCGAGATTCTAAAGCTGACATTTCGAGCGTTAGCCCTTCGTCAGAGCGCAACGCTCGAACCATCAGCTTCGGAATCTCTCTACGGTGGGAATTTCGCGTTATCAACCCGTTTTGTGAAACCATATTGTCTTGCAATACCCTCCCCCACCCTCCACCAACGCAATACCACAGTTTCTCTATGAACTCGCCCCCTTTAAACTTCGACCTACCTGAAGACAATGTGGACGTGGCCACAAGTACGCGAATGGAACCCTGCCTAAAGGCCCCCTCAATAATGTCCCTCTCGTCAAATGTGAGCCCTGCATGATGAAATGCTACTGCATGAGGTACTATACGAGAGAGCACCGAGTCCAGCCCTACTTGTGTGCGTTTCAGCTGCTCTACAACCTCCTTTAGTGCAGTGTAATCAAATTTTAAAAGCGTTGAAGCTTTGACAAACCCACTACTTTGGACGGTATTGCTATTTTGTTCTTTCAGAGCCAAATTTCCGATCTCTGCAAAATGCTTAGCGATATTCTCGGCCAGTTTTTCACACCAGTTCTTTGTCGGGCAAAATACTAAGACCGAGTGACCTTCCGTGATAGTCTCTTTACACAGTGGTATCACGTGATCCTCATCTCCGCTGACCGTAACCCCACTGATTTCTCGGATCTTTGTCGAGCTTGCGTTATAGAGTGTGGGGCCTACTTTCACCATTTCTGTTAGGGGAACTGGTCTGTGGTCTGTGAAATACAGGTCAGCGGATAGCCACTTGGCGAGCATGTCTAAATTGGGTAAAGTCGCACTCATACCGACTATTTGTATTGGTGGCAACGTTTCCTCGCCTCCTAAAAATTTTGAGAGAGATGGATGACGTCATTATCATGATTATGGCTCAAACGTGTGAAATATGACGGGTGGAGAAAAAGATGAATGCCAAGTAATCATCACTTACTCTTTTCATCGTTGACTCCATTTTGTCCTCTGCATCCAGAGATGTAACGTATTTTAGTCAAGCACAGTTCCAGTAAATATCCTCTATGAGGGTCGCCGATCATATGCATCTCATCAATAACAACAATCCCGAGAGATGAAAGAGCTTTATTTTCCTCCAGCAAGCGGTTTAACAGACTGTTTGCCTTCTCTATCGTGCATACCGCAATGTCTACTGAGACAAAGCCTCTTGCTGGGGCGTGGCTCCCCATGTACCCCTCCACACGAACCCCTGACTCCTGGTATAAACGCTGACAGAAAAAATATGTTTGACCTTACAATGACATGAGCTTAACAAGTAAAAAGGAAATGGAGAAAACATGTTTCAAGTTCGGAAACTGGTAGTGAAAAGTCACGTTTCAAAACTGTTTACGAGAGGAGTATTTTTTCTGTCTTGTCACTGTCATCTTTAGTGCTTTATGTCAGTTCTTGTCGGTTCTTCATATAATAACAGAAATGCGTGTCATCCCATTGGTCAAGGATAACGTAGTTGTAACTTGTTGCAAGAGAATAATTGTTAGGTAATGATTAAACAGGTGACAACTTGAGAAAACTTACTTGGAGGTAAAACATTTTTTCACGTGCCACACTAATAAATGGGAGAATGAAAAGAGCCTTCCTTTTTGTCTCAAGAACTCGTTTTAACATCAGCAGCTCTGCAACCATTGTCTTCCCAGCACTTGTCGGAGCTGAGTACACCAAGTTTCCTTCAAAAAAATATGAGCATAATGATGAAACGTGATTTTTTGTTGTGTAACAGGTCAGTCATAGGGAGAAGAAGTCATTACAGTTGTACCAACTTACCTCCTGTGAGTACCTTTCCTGTGCGAAGACATGCTGACTGCCATTCAAACATATGAGTGATTCCAAGCTCTTTGTACCTCCTCAGTATCTCTTGAGGAAGACCCCAGGAAGAAAGCTCCAAGGGGTTTGCAGAGGCACTCACATCAAGGTCCATGATGCTCCTACTGTGAGACTCTGAGTGGCCCATTGAGACATGGCTGAAGTAAACAAACCAACAGACAAACAAACAGCTTCACTTTCAAGAATGGTGGCCAGTCTAAGATTTCAAAAGTAAATCCTAGTCCATAGTAACACTTGTATGACAGAATTTTTAACCCACATACTCACTTTCTTAAAGCGAGTTTTTTTCCTATCTTTTTTTATTTGTACTGAAAAAATGGTTGTATAAAGTACTCTGTACTGTAAACATAATCAAACCTTATTTTTCTTCCTTGAGATTCTTTGCAGTTTACAAAATCATCAAAAGAACCTCTGACAGGTGAAAACACAGGTGAATGAGCAAAAGAAAATCGTGGCATATGCTCCAAGTCTTCGATTGGTGTAGAGATTCTCTCCCTGGTAGGTCCAAACCATTTCCCATCAGATTCATTTCTTTTGCCACTTCCCAGCTGAGGAGTGGAGAAGTGCATAGTCCCTTGCGGTGTAACCTTTCCTTGCACAGTATCTTTAGAAGGGATTGTGAAGGGAGACCGAGGAACAGGGCTACGTTGGATATGTTGCTCAACAATTTTATCAAATTGTGATAAATCTGCAGCATCAAATTCAAATCCAAATGACATGTTCAAGGAAGTACATGGTGATAGGGCTGAAGCCACATACCTATCAACCTAAAATAGTGAAACATTTATACTTGTTAGTACAACTTCTTTCTGACAACATCGAGAAGGAACAGGCATAAATCACCTTTTTTTCACTCCCTCTTTAAAGGCTTCCATAATTTAGATGATTTCCATTAGAGCTGAATATCAGCGGTTACTACAAGAATTGTGTCAAGAGGGTTGGTACAAAAATATCTGAAAACAATTCGTTTAATGATTAATCTCACATGCATGGCGGATCTACTTGATGTCTTTCAGGATAATTTGCTCAAAAACTCCAAATGCTGGAAATGTGAAAAGCAACACAAATAAAAGATTACACCTACACGGTGCAAGTGACTCCACGTTCTTACTCATACAGTAATTTGATCCACACTTAGAGTAAAGAAATAAGCCGTCCTTACCTTATTACAGTTGTCGTTATTGTCTTTAACGTTGTTGATTTCATTTCCGTTAGGTTCCCTTTGTTTCAGAGGGTGTTGATTTCGTTCTGACGTTCTTCTCTGTTTCCAAGTTTGCGACAGCCGCCTCATTTTCGAGAGAGAAAATTTACCCGATGTTTTAATTCATCCGGAGAAGTGACATCAAGCTTCAACCAAGTCGAGAAATGGTGATATTTTTCCGAATGAAGGTCATTCATTACTCGATCTGTTGGACGCCATATTTATTTATTTGAACATGCCGCGTAGGTCGGAAAACGTGAGAACCTGGTTATGAGTCAAACTAAGCCTGCGATCTATAACGCTGGCCAAACACATTGGCTAACGTCAGGAACTGGAACACAAATTTTGATTCGTCTTAAAAATACATCGCAAGATATTACGGCAAATAGATCATCTTATTAGGGATTTTTCTAGAAGAAATTGCTCTCAAGGTTCCTACTTTAACACTCAATGAACATGTTCAGAACTTTATTTTGATCTTGGAAAAAAATCTCAACGACAACTGTTCTTTTATTTTGAAACATTTGTGAAAGCATTGAATCCGGCACACAGCTAAATAAAATAACTAAAAATTGTGAAAGTTTTGCCTCCTCTAGAATTTGCCCATATACACTCTTCAATTTTCTCATATATTTGTCTTAAAAAAAGGTATATCCCTCAAGATTTTCACACACTATTTGAGTCTCGCACCAATATATTTTGCATAATGGCATTAGGTTGTGGATTCTTGGATGATATGTGATATTATTCTTCACAGTGTGATAAACATAGCAAGTGATTTTTGTAATCTTCACATTGTGATGTTTCCATAGAAAGTTAATGGAATAGAACTATATGGAAAATTCATAAGGCCTAGTTTTGCAGATGGTCCAGAGTAGCTACTTAGACAAAAGTAAAGCACTCATTATTATTTTTTTTTAATATGCTGTTAAGATGATTACACTTTTATCATTACCTAACATAAATTGGGCACATATTTCATTTAAACAAAACTAACTGAAGCCAATACCAATATAATTATATAAAACACTCATAGCTTTATAATCAGTTAGGAACAAAAAATTTTATTCAGATCTGAAAGTTCAGTAAAAAAATAATGACGCGAAAGTTTGTGATAGAAACTTCCATCTTAAAGCAAATGATATTTGCATGAAAAATATACATTTCTTATTTTTATGTGCAAGGTTCACAGTCCACCACCACTATTGTGCAACCTTTTCTTCTCCAACACAAGACAAAAGCTGTTTTCTGTATTCCATGATATCTTCATAGTGGCCTGACAGCGATAGTATATCATTGTTCCTCTTTGCTTCACAGTGAAATTCAGGAGTCTTGAGTTCATACCACCTAGGTTTAGGTCCACGGATTCTTTCAAGTTCATCCACACATTTTTTTTTGAGAAGCCTTTCCTCCTCTAAACGCAGCCTGTCTAATCTTAACCTAGCCAGTTCTTCTTGATATGGTGTTGCTAAAGCACTTATTGTTCGTGAACTTAACATGTGATTTTCTGCTTCTCTAAAGAGTGACAAATCAAAGTCATTGATTGGTGTTGTCCTGATCTTTTCACTGGGAACACTTGTCACATTTCCTTCCATAGCTGACCTTAACACAGAAGCTTTAAGAGGCTGTTGTCTGGCAATTTCCTCAATGTCAACTGGTGCACTTGTTGTCCGGTGAAGTGGCTTTATAAACCAATTGTCTGAGTTGTAAGTACTGTTCAAAAATGTATCATTTTCACTTGATTTATCTTTCAACCTAGCAAGCTCTTCTTCTGGTCCATCAGCAAATTCTGACAAGTCCAAAGCTAAATCATCTGGGTCTAACTCTTCATCAGACGTCTGTGATTCCTGAAAATTCACCAATTGCCTTGAGGGTGTTCTCATGCTTCTATGTGTAACTCCTGCAGCAGATATGGTCATCTCAGAGTTGGTTCGGTAGTTCTGAGGCTTCAACCTGTACAGTCAAACAAACAATTTAGACTTAAAACTCATCATTCATTATTACTTAATTCAGTTTACTAATTGCAAGTTTTCATGTATATACTGAAATCACATGCACTGACAAAGATGAAGAATGTATTTTGAAAATTGTTCAGTATCTCAAAACTCAGACAGACAGTTTTAGTTTGATGTTCTTGTATAAAGTTCTTAACAGGTTCATCAGTATAGACATGTCTACATATATTCAATTTTATACTGATTTTGATAGGTAACACTTCAGGGGAAGGGATCAACTTACACTCAAGAAGAACTTTGCTAGAACCGCTACTTTTAAAAGTAGTTTTTTTGATAGGATTGTGGATGTATGGAATAAATTACCATCATCGTTATGTCAGGCATCTAACATTTCCAGTTTCAATAAGGGTGCCAGGAACTTCTTGCTATCAAGATATGAGTGAATCTATAATTCTTTATTCATGCACTTTATCTCAGTTTTGATGATAGTTATTTCTTTCTTATTTGACGTTTTTGTAGGATATAATATATAATATATATTATATATATATATATCTATATAGGAAGTCTGCAAGTCGATTTTCGCGTGGAACAGTGCTCAATACGTTGAAGCAGAGCAGGATAGATATTATGAGAGGAAAAAAGGGACGTAACTACATTTCCCGACAAGCCTGTTTCGTGAATCGCTTCACTCTTCAGGGGTTTAATGAATATTCTTTCATTTGTCACGAAATGGGGTCTATGCCCCTTTTTTCCTCTCATAATATCTATATATCTATATATATATATATATTTTTTTTTCCTTTTTGGCGGGGGTGGTCTGCCTTTGTATGGGGTCTATGACTCTTCTGTAGACTACCCTAATGATGATGTTGTTTATTGTCACTGAATTGTTAATATTAAATTTTAAATTTGGTAAAATTTTTGCACAGCCCCATACTATTGTAAAACAAATCTGTTTTCCCAATGTATTGTTTTAGTCATTGTTTTCTCTATTCAAGAACTGAATGCATAATGAAGTATGGGGCTGTGCGGAAATTTTACCTTAAATTTTATCACAGCTTATTTTTTTGGGACGATGAACTACAACTTGACAGTCATAGTTGGATACTAAAACAGTTCGATATCAGTAGTGGACCTTGCCAGTCATGAGTAGGTCCTATCTAACAAGAAGAACATAACACCTATAACTAGATAACCAAAGATATTTACAGACTTTAAATAATAAAATACTCCATATGTTGATAGTCAGTAAGAGCTCGTGTACCTAACAGGAGTTCGACGACCACGGAGAATAAAATCTTCATCGGGATTTCGCTTTCTTGTTCCTCTTGACGGTAAAGGTCGGAGATTATAAAACGAATTCCTTTCGTAAGGTTCCTTCTTTGCCATACTACTAGTATACATTTTACTTTAAAAAAAGATTGAAAGTAGGCGGCTGGGAAAGACAGAGAAGGCTCCTACCGTGAGCAATGACAAAACCCAACCGATCTGGCGTCTTGTTTGCTTAGCAACCAAGCTACAAAAAATCTCGCTCAACCATACCGCTGACAAGGAGCCAACATGACCCTGGGCTCGAGATTGGTCGCAACCTCGTCGCAACCAAAGTGCTCGCTTGTCGACTATCCAGCAAGGGTTGAAGAAAGGTTTTGTCATTTGCCTTCATCACCGAATACGAAGCGCCCGCGTTAAAAACAATTAGGATATCTCGTAATAAAATAATACTAGGATTTAATCTTTCTCCAAAATCCTTCTTTCATCTGTTTTTGGCATCGGAACAGTTAGGAATTTAACCTCTTCTTCCTCACTTTACGCTGGACACGCGTTCGGAAGTCCCTTTTAACATTTTCAAACTCGTATTTTCGAGTTCGACCTCTGTGTTCTTGGTAGCAGGATATACACAGTCTATCTGTTCCAATTCTGTTCCATCTGTTCCTTGGACTTTCCTGTTCTACAAGTGCACACGATCGAGGGTAGTGGGGAAAGGAGGAGGGGATGGTACACTTGCACGGTTTTGAAATTATATCTATTGTAAATGACGAAACTGTCGGTGAAACTTTACAAAATCGCGCAAAACATTGACATAGTTGTTTTTGATATAATGATCGGGTACCTGTAACAACCCCGGCCGCCACCCACCCTTTCCTGGACAAACAAACTGCACAAAAAGTTCATCATTCCGTTGGAAAACTTCCGAGCTCTTTAGTTTACATCGTTACTTCACGCTTAAGCAGCCTTTATAAATTGCACGAACAAACTTAAGCAATCTCCCAGTAAACATGGTAAATGTGACCTGTTGCTGTCGTTTTTTGGTGTTGTCGTTTTTGCGAAGTTTACAACATTTGTATTAACTCTCAAGTGCCTACTAACTATAGTGGTTCTGCACAAAGTGGAAAAAATTAAATGTAATATGACTTGACAGCACCCACCGATGCTTTTACGGCGACCGTACATGAAAGAGAATTATCATTTTGCGATTTGTTTGAGTCGTTCTTCCTTACTGGAATGGTGACAGAATGGCTACTTTCACAGGGAAAATTATTCCCTAGTTTAATTCATCGTTTCATTTGCTTCTGAGGAGACATTTCGGGAACTATCAAGAATCTACGACTCGCAACTAAATTCATCAGTGATATCATCTCTGTTCAAACCTTTCATCTAATACGGTGCGCGGCTTCGCTTCTGATACATAGGAGAATTATCATTAGTTAAGCACGTTACCACTGAGGACAAGGCTGAAAAGGAAGCTATGTGACTCATGCTAAGAAACTAGCTGTTTTGAACCCATGGAGTAACACGTTTTGGTCTGAGAGTCTGAGTGGGGATAGTCCTTGGTAATTCTGTGTAATCTGACTCTGACGACGACTTCTACTCGGGTTGTCAACAAGTCAGTCACTATAACCGACAACACTCCTTCACAGGATTACCCTCACCCGGACGATCAGACTTAACGATCACGGATAAGCATTCCATTGCAGCAGACCAGCGGTCTAGCCACATGTTAGAAGTCGCCTGCGGCTTGTGTGTGTTGTCGTCCCCTGGGAGATTTCAGCTCAAACGTGGATCAGTTTGACGCTTCGTTAACACTTTGGTCGAACCAAAAGATGGATTATTTGAAAAGAATGAGATAAATAGACTAAAAAGATTTGCAAAAAGAGAAGAATTCTGAAACAATCCGCCAAGCCACGTTCAATAGCAAAAAGGAGGTTAAAATTAACTGATGTTCAGAATACTCAGCGAAAAGGAAGATCGAGAGAGCCCAACGAAACGTGAATACGAAAACACAGGAGCGCGGGAATTTTGGTTTGGACACCAGTGGATTCCACTTTTGGTGAGCAAGCTGTGATCGTGGCAACATTTCCCTAATGTCTACTTCATGTTTACAATCCTATAATAACCTTTTAAGACGTAGATTGCTTATTTTACATGTTGAGCAACCATACCTAACTTGTACTCATGAATATCAACTTCAGCTTTCGCGCAGGACTGCTCAGTATTAGCGGCAAGATTGGATTACAAGTTGACAGAAGAGTAGTCTACACCCTGGAGTTACAAACGTTTGATTTGCTACATACAGAAAATTATGCTGCGAATACGAACAAAATAGGTTCACGTCGTCATGTAGATTATGAGAGTTGACAACAACAACAAGGTTCATAAAAATTTAATTTGATCTTCAAAAAGGTACAGTGTACGCTATAGTCCGTCTTCATCAGCGACATAGCTGATTTTGAAGTTTTCCTTTTTGATTTGACGTTTTTAAGTCTCACCAGGGGGAGGAATCAAGCCCTTATCCCCAATAAAATAAAGTGCAACTAAAATTCTCTGCTCTGGTAATACTTCATTTTGTGTGTTATGCCTGCAAGAGAGTATACGATATTACCTGATCAGATCAGAGCATACATCAACAAAAGCAACACAACTAACGACAACACTTCACTACAACTAACGGATACCAAACTGACGGGACCACAAGGGCTCAAACACTGTTTCCTCGGCTGCAGGGACGTGAAAGGGTGAGCCCCAAATTATTTCATGAACAGGACCCTCGTGCACAACGATCTCTGCGTTTTTCTGATTGAATATTTGTCGCTTTTGAATTCTTGGCACAAACGACAACCAACGAAACGCATGACAATAATCAAATTGGTTTGAAAATGTTTCGGCCACAATTAAGAGATGTCATAAAACATATTACACATATAAGCGTTCTATCTATGAAACCCAGGCAAGGTAACAGAACACAGCGTGGACAGAACAGTGATACTTGAAATAGTTATTCACAGAAACTGGAAGCAGAAAATAAAATCCACCTGAATGATCCACTGCACGATCACCGTTTTCTCTCCTTCTTACCGTCCTTTTCATTGCGCGGTGGCGACGAACTGGAAGATCTTCGTTTACGACGATGTTTCTTGTCCTTCTGTGAATATTCCCTACTACGTCTAGATGATTTATGTTTAATACTAGAATGTCTGCTATCAGTATCGCTCTCGGCTGAGTCACTATCACTTTTCCTTTTCTTTTTACTGCTGCTCTGTTTCCTCGGCGATCTGCTTCGTGAGCGGCTTTTCTTTCCGTGACGTCGACGATGTCTTTTTTGACGGTTCGGAGATGGAGTATCACTCCTGTCTCGCCGACGATGCTTTTTCCGACGACTCTTTTCGTGAGCCGAGAGAGAGCTCTCGCTTTCGCTGTTTGAGCTGACAGGAGTCCGATGTCGTCTCCCCTTTTTACTGCGCTTTTCATCGCGGTATTCTTTCCTGTTGGTTTCCTCTCCTTCGCTTTCAGAAGCAGACTCGTGCCTGTGATGTGTTTCTCTGCTAGGATGGCTTCGCGATCGGCTTCTTCGTATTTTTCCATCATCTTCCGCGTCAGCGATGTGGTGTTTTCTCTCGTCGTCATCAGCATATAGCTTTTCTTTGCCCGAATCTTCCTCGGATGCACTTTCACTATCTGAGCCGTAACCTCCAAGTCCTGAGAGGAAACGCAACACTATGTTAAGTCACCTCAAGAATTCGTGTAATTGATTGATCAAATTTTCCTCTGAGGTAAAATACTACGACACAGGTTTTACTACACAAATTTTTACAATGCTTCTAATCTGCCTGAAACAACTCTAAGCTACTTCGTGCATATATATATATATATATATATCGTTCGTGCATATATATATATATATATATATATATATATATATATATATATATATATATATATATATATGTATGTATATATATATCTTTGCTTCCACCCAATTGCTGGTATATGTGTGGTGAAACCAACACCCAAGGGACACGCTCGGGACTAAATATTGTGCACCTTAACAAGTGTTCCCTATGTTGATGGGAAGATAAAGAGCTAAAGGGGAATTTTTTTTAATCAGTTGAGATCAAGTCATACGTATTGATTGCTCTTTTCAGCAAGAGCCTGCTTTTGGTGCTATAAGCGACTGTGACCATGGTAGGGGCAGCATAAAACGCTCAAATAAAATGTTACCAAAGGCTACATCGTAAAGAAAGTAGTTCCACTTGCACTTCTGTGGATCATCACACAGTGCTCCATGTTAATACAGAAGTGCACTAGTGTGAGCATAACAAACCTAAATATCCTCCTTTTCCGCGTAAAGCATCCAAGCCTCCTGAGTGTTGCAGCTGTCGAGCTGGACCTACAAAATTATTTAGAAACACAGCAGGTTATAATGTAATATTCCCAAAATCTATCAAAGTAACATTTATGAATCGAAGTGCCACATTACCTCTAAGCGCCTCATTATAAGTCTCCTGAGCAATTTTTTTCACCTCTTCATTAGTTACCGTTAAAAGGACTTCCGTTAGAAGTTTACGAATGTTCACCATCTATAAACAAACAGGAAAAAAGTTACATATGCCATTTCATCCAAAATCTTTCATTCAGTACTAGCATAAATAGAGACGTTTGGTAATTGCAAGTTAATGGAAATGTTCTGCCTAACTTTTGTAAAAAAAAAAAAAAAAAAAATCTAGCATAGGAAGGAGGAAGCTATCCAACTGAGAAGTCAAAGAACTAAAGCAATTTTGACTTGATTATAATGGACAATAAAATATTGACTAAACTACAAACTGGTCACCCTTGATGCTTACAGTTTACAAAAGTTTTCTGATGCCTAAGTGGCTTTTTCCTATGATGCTCTGCTTTGATTGGTTAGTTTTCAATCATCTCATAAGGTGATGCATAACCAGTACTATTGTTTGCCTAAAGTAACTAGCAGTACACCTGCATGCAATCCAACATCTTGATCCACATTGGAAATGATTTCATCAGGAGATCCACCATAATACTTTGTTATTGTTTTAGTTAATCACAACTTTGCTAATAATTTTTCCTCTGGGTTAATGTTTGTGAACGAGCAGATGATCAACAATATAAAATGGTAAGCCAAACTTATTTCTACATGTTAGTTATTAGTTATTATATTATAGTTATTTCTACATGTTAGTGTGTAGGAGATAGTGTGTATCAAGCAGTGAAGAGAGGAAAAAAAACTAAACTAAATTAAACACACCAGTTCCTGTTGTTTCTCCTCTTCTGTCTTCTCCTCCTCTTCTTCCTCGTCTGATGACTGAGCCCTCTTATGAAATGAGTGACCTTGCTTGGAATCCTGACTTTTAACAGCAGAGCCTTTACTGTGGCTATCAGGAGCACTTTCTTCCACTGATGAATGCTGACTGGCCTTTTCATTGTCACTCTCCTAGTAAAAAAAGAGTTAATTTTTCAAAACAAGTTGCACTGATATGTACATGACATTTGATTTCAAAGTTCTGATAAGAGTATTCATGTTAAATTTTACTCGTGAACTCTGGCATTTTTCCAGTCAGAAAGAATAATAAGAATTCAAAAGTAACTAGCTTCATTGCCGGTCACAATCTAGAATGTTGCTTTGTTCAGATGTCAATTTGCTTAGAATCTTAAATAAAAAATAAATGAAAATAAATATTCATCTTAATCCAAGCTTTCTCTTTAATAGTCAAATTACATACATTTTTTCTGTGAGAAATGTTGGACAAAAGGTGAAAATGTCTTTCAAAAGGTAAACAGGAATTCCAGTTCACTCATGGCTCAATTTTGAAGCTCTTATCTATCAGCTAACCCTCAGGGGTTAGCTGATAGATAGATAAGATAGATAGGGCTTACTTGAGAGGCTATTACCAGCTTAAAACTGACCTCCAACCCACCCAAACAAAAACAAATATTTTTCAATAGGTTATAGTAGTAAATTAATGACTAGATACAATATATACGTCCAATTATAATCTATCAAATATTTTTGCTCCATGCAATTGGTCTAAACGAATCTATGATAGACTATCACCCAACAAAAACTGGGAAATATCCAAGGATAGACCTCATACCAATCCCCAATTATCAAACTTTACCTCTACCATGATAAAAGTATTCATTAAAAAATTAATTAAGATGAGAGTTTAGCTATTGTTACAAAAGATGGGACATGTTTGGTTATGGAGTAGCATCATAGCACAACAAAAAGTAAGCCATTTGTAACCATTTTACCCACATGTTACAAAAACATTTCAAGTATAATAAACACAATAGCCCCTGATTGGCGTGAAAATATGCTTGTATATTTGTCCTTGCATATTTGTCCTTATAATCTGTCCCATTTGTGCCAAATGGAGGCTTTTGTTTGTACACTGTACCTCATCAGAATCATTGCTCTTTGGAGATCGTATGGGAGAATGGACTTTGCCATGATCATAACCAGCAATGGTGGATGACCCAGATGCCGACAAATTCACAGTTGACTTCTTTGGTTCATTATCATCCTCTTGTTCCTGCTTCTGCTTTTTCCTTTCCAACTTTTCAAGGCCTTCCCTTATCCACAAGGGTAAAGCTTTTTTCTTCACATCTACAAGAGATGAAGCAAATGTGTTTTTACTGTATAATCTTATCAATAAAGTACATGCTAATATTGACACAGAATTGTGCACGCGTCTGAATTTCTTTGACCTTTAAACTCGACAAAGACGCTTTCAAGTTTTCGAAAGTTGGATCGGACAACTTTTAAAAGACTGAAATGTATCACCTTAATGTCACGTTTTCGCCACCAAAAAGTTGAATAACAACGTGCGGGTTATCCACCAGAGCGGGTAATCTGTTGACTTTTTTTTTTCGCCGTATGCAATAATCGGCCGGTGCGGGTAATCGGCCGTGCGGGTAAACGACCGGAAATTACGGTAATTCTGGTGCCACTCAAACCAAATAAATGAGGTTTACTTACCAGATAGTCCAGCACTTATATCAGGCAAAGAATCAACTGAAGGATGGCTTTTAGGTTTGGCATGTTCATGTGCAAACCTGGGATGATGTCGTTCCATTTCAAAAGACTGCTGATGATAATAATGACTATCAAATTGAGGTTGGTAATCATAAACCTGTGCCCCTGGGAGGAGCGGGGCTTGATGGCCATAATCAAGACTCTGTCCATGCCCATAGTCAATGGGCTGGACTGCTGCATGGCTGTACTGCTGAGGAGGGGGTCGATCAAACCCATGGTTATGATCAAAGGTTTGCATTCCAGGAAGCACAGGCGCCACAGGCTGGTGATTGTAATCTTGAGTAATGACTGGCTTGCGCTCTTCTTTATGATCAAAAAGAGGCTTGCTGTTTTCTTCAAACTTGGTAACACTGGTTCCCACAGTCCCATCATCCATGGCCACTGTTTCAATGTTATCAATAGCAGGTTGGCTTTCAACATTGGCTGCATCTGACCACCCTGGTGGTGGTGGGTCTGGGACTTCCTCTGGAGGGAGGGGTGGGGCATCAGACCCTTGGTGATACTGATGATTCTCAACCAACATTTGTGGCTGCTGCTGTCCAACTTGATAACCACCATACCCTGGCTGCTGATGCATCTGAGCATGGCCTGCCTGTGGTGGTGGCTGCTGCTGCTGGTAGTACTGTGCCATCTGTTCCTGTGCCATTCGTTGTTGAGCCCATAAAGCTGCTTTAGCAGCCCAGTCTTGGCTCGCATCTGAAAGTGAAAATATGTTGGCTCTCTTATCTTAGGCTAACAAACAACATGTCTTCAAATTCTCAAAGATCATACTCACAATTCCAATATGTCCAAAATGTACCACAAATAATTTAGCCACCAAATAAGAATTGCTAGAACACTGCATCAAAGCAGGCTATATTTAATTTTTTACACTACCACTGCTAGTTCTTAATGAAATGTGTTTTATTGCAATGTCTATTTAAAAAAATTTAGCATATCAAATCAAAAGTGGAAATCCAAACTTAGGATTAAAACACCAAGTTTCCACTCTCTCTTGGAAGATTGTGCACCAGGCTGAAGGTGAATTGAAGCCAAGCAGTACTGCGCATTCCCACTTACTCTACAGCCTTTAATTGTGATGCTTACCTGCAGATTGAGTTTGATACTGGTAGTTGTAAGACATTTGCCACCATTGCTGGGCATTTGCAGATGCCTGTTGATGTCCGCCTGCCCACATCCTCAAAACTACAAGGGCCTAGCTAATCATGGAAGATTTCAAAATCATGTCTGACGTTGACAAACCCCAATAAGTCTCCACAAAAACAAATGAGCTTTAAAAAAATTACATTTAATGTGGATTGTAATAATCACATATCGCGTAAAAAAGACATATTACACAGAATGTGTGAACAGTTACATATATCAAATGCAAAAATTGCACAATTTCATTATCATTTTCACATGGTACTTCAAGGCTAAATTCCCTAAATTCTACTTCTACGGATTCAAACAGTGAAGTCCGAATCATCTAATTGCATACAAGCTCACTAATTAACCGCAAAAACATCAACACTTTCCGCCATAGTAAAGTACATGACAATGCGGCGCTTCCAACATTACGAATGCTGGTAATCGCGAAGACAAGAAATACATGATGCGATAGCTCTGTGATCACCTTCAACGCATTCTATCGAATAGTGACTGTTTCTAGTTTTTCAATTCTAGATTGTATCGTTCGAAAATAAAGATGTAAAGCGGTCAAGCTAGTCCACAGTTCATCAATTCGACCTCCATTATTTGAAGACTCGGCATTCCCGATCGCTTTACAGAGCAATCGTTCCTACCTGTGTATTCACTGATCCAACACAAAATGATTCTGTCACCTATTCCTTGATGATAAAACCCAAATGATGTCGCAAAAGGACTCTGGAGAGCTTAAAAGAACTGAATATTTCACATGACAACAACTCGCCATGCGAGGAAATCAAATGCAATACGTCTCAGAGGGGGCTCAATTGATTGAATGATTTGACCGTGGAGCATTATGGATACGTTGAAACCCGACCCAAGCCGCTTTTGCATAAGTAACCAACACAGCAGGGATAGTATTTTGCGAAATTGGAGACCTAAAAGGCTCTTAAAATTTCCTGATTCACGGGCAGATTCTTTTTTCAGTAGCCAAAAAGCCAACTGATCTATTCACTCATTAGCAACAATGATCACTAGCAATGGACACTTCTTTTCTCTAGGAATTTGGTTTGTCTCTTAATCAGCGAGTTAAATGCTTCGAGTTTAGTGAGTTTTATCGAGTTGTACTTAAAACAGATTGTTTAGAATGCCTGCGCGAGGAAACCAGGTAGTTTTATTGGCGCTCTCTTCGAGGGAGTGCTTCACGCGCAACGCGTGGAATCGCGTGTATAGATATATAGAGCGATCCATTTTCTTCACAAGGGTTCGCTCATAAAACCAAGAGAAAAATCGAGCTGTAGAAAGTTTAGAATGTGCTTTCGGGAGAAATCGTCCCCGTGAAGCATTAAACAAAGGAAGCGCACGTGTAACACCTAACCCTAAAACGCGCACCGAAGTCTGATTTCAATTCAGTCTCATTGGTAAATACGCATTACGTCGTACTATTTCTGCTCAGTATTTTAAAAATTGATCTCTAATAGCTCACAGGAGTGCGTGAAGAAATCGGGCGCATGATCTGCAATACGAGAAAACATGATCAGACAGGGATGGACGACGACTGAAGTCAGAACTGAGAAGGTTAGTGATTATAGCGATGGTTGCGTTTGATTTAGGTTGATAATCAGTGATTTATAGCTGAATGCAAAAAATCTGATGTTAAGTTATGTTCTGATTCTTTTAATTTCCTTTTAACATTATGTATTGAATACCCTTGAAAAACTATAGAAAGGCAAACCGAACCGATTAATTAACTCTGCGAAATACGAGTTTCCAGTGACTGATCACGGAATTTTGTTAAATAGTCCTGAGATGGAATGTTTACAGTTTCATTGAAACAAATCTCCTAGTTTCTTAATTCCAAATTCTTATGTCTCAGTTCTTTCTCTTACCATTAGATAGTCATTTCAGCGAAAGCTTCCAAATGCTTCTTAACCGTATTATCTAAATACGAGCACTACTCTTCAAAAGTATTAATGGGGGTAAGTTTCTAAAGAAACCGTGGTGCTGCGCCGGTGGATTTATTTTGGTTTGGATTTATTACCTTAGTTTATAATGTAGATTGCCCACCATTTAGAGATTATAAAGCTGACATTTCGAGTGTTGACGCTTCATTGGAGCGAATGATAGAACTAAAATACAATCGGACTTCAACTTCAATTGAATTGTTAAAATGAGAAGGGGAATTGCAAGTGACGAAGCACTTTCAGCGGACTTTTCGCGTTGTTTTTCATATTTTTCAATATTGAAAGACAAAACCTCTTTTTTTTCTTTCAACTTGCTTACCACTTAGGCCTCACGACCACATCAGTTTGTAAGAGACTTGAACATGTTTCTTTCGCAAGAAGCATATTTTAATTTATGAATGTCAATTGACAAGAGACTCTAATGCTTTACTCAATAGAAGTATTGTCAGCTTAGTGACACTTGTTTACAGAGGGTTTCATCTACTTGTTATGGCGGTGTATTTCTGTCATTGTCACGTTTTGTAATCGCGGAAGACACCAAGACCACCAGACAGCTGGCAAACATTGAAAAGTTGCTTACTCCAGGTCATCACTGTATGACAATAAAATAAAATTTAAATTCCGAGTCTCTGGCGTCAGTTATGCAAGCAAAATTTCATAAACCGTCTACTTTTGTGATCTTTGTTTATCTGTTTTGTTGCGCGCATTGTAAATTGTCTGAGGCAAATTACAGAAGTGCGAACTTTCGAATAAGGTTGTAAAAAATTCACTATCAACTAACGAGCCACTTCTTCAATTTGTCGAGAAAGTTTCGAATGCCTTATTTAATGCAGTTTTATAATGTATGTATTAATATGTCAAAGATATTGTCACTAAGACTAGCGCACACTGCATCTATGTGGACGCTGCTTGACTTTATTCAAGAGGAGCTAACAACTTTCACTGAAGCCCAATATAAAGCAATGCTTTCTCTTTCGGCGTCTCGAGAAATTCAGGCCGATTTACAAATTGAAATCAAAACACTGGAAAATTTCAGCCTTTCTTTTAAAACAGACAAACGTCAATTTTAAAGTAATTTTGTATTTTTATATTTATTTCAAATTTCTTTCTTTTTTCGTTTGGTTTAAAAGCCCACTAAAAATTTCAAAACGCGCATTTAAAAAATATTGTCAATTATAATCAATTTCATCCTTAACCTCTCTGATATCTAAAATCTGCTATTTTCCAACGATGGATAGTAATGCCAAATTGTAATCGTCGTTTCGATGCCCTTTTTTCACTTGCAAACCGTGCTTGTTTATGGACGAATCTACCGAAGTCGACACATTATCGAGTGATATTAAGATTTTCAGTTTTGCGAGACTACCAAGATTCGAAAGCGCCGCCCTGGATTTCATTGTGCCGAATTTCTATTTTCAGTTCTTGACTTTCCAGTGATAAAAAAAAACGAAGATCAAGGTGCAAATGAAATAATATTGAAAAACGTTTGTGACGAGACCGGCGAAAGGAGTACAATACTACCGAACTCAGTTCTGGAGGGTAGGACTTTTAAGTGCTCCTCGTTTGCCTGAAAGTGGAAGAGAGATTCATACCCACGTCTCTCCGTCATTATTCAATGATACAACTAGAACCAATTTACTCATGCGTCTAATCATTGCTGTTAGTGCAGCGAGGAGGGGTTAATGTAGTTTTTGCTGCCGCTCTGCCACGGCGGCCTGGTTGTATTGTGCCTACCAAATCCAAATTAGGGCCGGTTATTTTACACGAGGTCTAACCCAAACTGCGTTTTTACGCAAGTAGTAGGCCTAGGAATTTCTCTATAAGAGGGTTGATTTAATGTAATAAATTCCCTTCCACTATTAGCTTTCGGTCCCCTTGACACTGTTCACAAAAATAAATGTTCAGATAAAAGGTTCGGCTAAATTGAAGATGGCAATTTTGTTAAGCAACAGTTAAACTTTGCCTAAATAACCGACCTTAATCCTCACTGAAAACTAATGCAGGACGGTTACAGCCTTGAGAGCGAACCTTACTCCTGAACAGAATCGGTTTCCAAAGAAGAATTGACGCTCTCTAGAATGGAAATCGCCATTAGGTGCAATTTTCCTCCACAACCGTACCATTTTAGCTGGAAAGGTGAAAGCGAAAACTTAAAAAAAAAGCCATTCAATCTGTGACATTTGCTATAGCTGAAATTATTTTTAAGTGCTAGAGAAGACAACTTTGAGCAATCCAAAGTGAAAAGCGTCTATCAACGTTCTTAACTGATGATTTCTATATTGGAAACTGTTACGAGTCGCTTCAGCACATACTCAGTCTATTATGTTATTTTTCATTCGGTGGAAGTCGCAGCCAAGTTTCATGAAATTCAGACTCAAGTGCCGTGTGCTACAGTGATGCAATTTCGGGCTGAGTTGGTGCGGCTGTTGACATCTCGTAGACAAAGTACAAACATTCCCTTTCATACAAAAACCAAATCAGAAGGGAGACAGTGAAATTTAAGGGGATCAGGAATAGCGCAGAGGTTGGAGCGCTTACCTCCTATCTCTGAAACACGAGTTCAATTCCCAAACTGAACAGCGGCAAAAACCTTAGAATAAAATCGATTTGTTTGCCTGTTAGGCTAATATGCCTTGCAATAAACTCAACATTAGCATTACCTCGTAACACCTCACTGGGTGTTATCGACTCGCTATTTCCAGTTACCACACTGTTCTCGTAAGATCAACACCAAGGCAAGAGCACCACTTTTTCTTTCATTTTTTATCGATATTTTTTCTGGCAATCCAAATTGTTCCCTTATGTCAGCTTTTAACAAAACAAAAGCATGGACAGACAATGTCCTAAAATATATTTTAATTTAACGGTTAAGTTTCTCAAGGGAATTGTCTCAATTCGGGTTCCATTACGCATCTTAGACTTAAATCTTCACTTTCCACACTCGTAAGCTTCAACTTTTTGTTTTCGTAAGAGAAGACACTTATCGTAATCATGGTACGATTTATTTGTCTTCTTGATCAACTTGCTGTTTTAAGAAAACCACAAATTGTGGCACTACTTGACTCAATGATTTGAGAGTAAAGAAATATATCAGTTTTTCTTCTTCTTCTCGCTGTTCGTTACAAATTCGTGTCTTAAAAAGTTTTCTGGATGTTTTGTCTAGGTTTGTTGACACTTCATCTCAATTTGAGATTTGAGAGTAAACAATGACTCATACTCCAACCAACATGAAAATTCGCAGACTCTACCTAGTGTACGTGGCCAAGTTCAAGTCACTCAATAAAGAGCGCATCTGTCTGACAAAATTTAATCTCTGCGGCATCGAAGCTCCTCGCAAGAAAACCTCCTGACCTAGAGAGTCTAGAGATATCTGCTGCTGGAAAACACAAGTTTGCAAATTTCTTTGTAAGTATGCTTTTATCTCCTATAGGCAAACTTTTAAGATATAAATTTGTTTTGACTTTCTTTCAGATCTGTTCAGAGAAAAGGCATTCCTCTCCGTAATGTTTCGATACCTCTCACTGTTCCTCCTCCAGTTTATTCTACTTCTGGTAAGGTTTAAGGCTTTTAGTTATCAAACACAACCGAATCATGATTTCCTTCGATTTATTGCCTTTTTATTTTCAAAGGGAGTCTGTAAACAATCTCGATAGCTCGTTCAGACTATATAGTTATTACACAAGACAATTTTGTTACGCCATTTCTTCTTCATAATTTTAGAGACCTGAGTGAGTTAGTGTGTGTAACGAGATTTTGTAAACAGCAATTCATTCAGCCCTTTCAGATATGGACATCTGGTGTTTCATGAAAAATGTTCCTAGGTAATCTTCTACTTTTAAATTCAAAACAAATTACGGAAAAAGAGCTTCTAGGTTTAAAGTGAATGAATTGACAACATGTGTATGGGGACCAATTAAGTTAGGTGTTAATATAACATTCAAAGGATTTTCATACCCTAAAACAACTTACTCGTGTGAGAAACATGTTTTGCGAGGCTCTCTGGCGCAAGAAATAACAAGTTTATTCGAAGTCTTAATATTTCTTTAAGTTTCCTCGAGCTCCCAGTATGGCTTTTGGTTTCGCACTTTACATTTACTAAGTACCATGTTCCTGCTCTAGGGCGATGGACTCGGTAAATCTGCGGTGAATACGCGGATGAAACGTGGCTTATCTTCCCACCACCATCACTCGTCGAAGTTATCAATAAAAGACCTTGCTCTTGAGTTGGCAAAGAAACACGTAAGTAGTTTGAGTAAATAATTGTATCTTCTAAATGTATGTTTAATACCGCCACTAAGAGATTATAAACTAACCTCCTGTTGCCACCCAAGTCTGTTACCACCAAAACAAACCGCCAATGTAAAGGTTCTGCCGCATAACGAAAATTGTTTATTTTTCTCTTTACAATTCTGGATTTTTTGAAAATCTCTTTTGCCCGTACTGTATCATCAACTTAAGGTCCGATAGTAAACGTAAGTGTCACGACCATTTACAAGAAAATTCCCGTCAGCAAACTAAAGAACTGTGTCACTAGGGTTTAGCGCATTACTAAGATGGCTTTTTCTGTTTGTAGTTACTCAAGATGATCCTTGATGAACAACATGACTTAGATAAAGCAAAAGAGAATGTTTACATCCTGGAAAGAGGTTTGTTAAAAATGTTAACCACTTGGGTTTTGGAGACTAGAATTAAATTGGTTTTAATTTGTTTTAACACAGCTACGAAGATTTACAGAAAATTTTGCAATTTCTTTTGCAGTTTTTGTCAAATGATATGCAAAGAATACAAAAGACAAATTGGATTAGAAAATGTATGAAAAATAATAAGAGTGTGATTGGAAAGTAAAAAATATATTCTAGAGATTTATGGAGGGCCTAAACGAAAACAAAACCATATTTGCAAAAAATCTCTGAATTGCGAAAACTATAAAAAAAAATTGCAAAAGCGATGACGAAAATCGAGAAATTCATCGTAGAGGGCAAAAAAAGACCCAAAAGAAATTCATGAAAATCGCAGATGCTCGCAGGAAACAAAATTTGAAAAGGAAATACACAAGAGTCGAATGTTTGCAAAACAAAAGAAAATTAAAGAAACATGGCTAGATAGCAGAAACCATGGAAAATTGTCTAAACGTGTGTCTACGTACGAACATCACCAAAAGGGTTAAGGGAGGCTCCAACTCCAGCCAAATTTACGCCAAAAAAATCACACAAAAAACCGTTTAGTTTGAAAAAAAATGCAATAAAAACTAATGTTACTTCTGTAAAATCCAAGAACAGGCTCAATTTAAGTGGTTGTCTTAACACCCAAGAAGCGGAAGCTTTAATTGACATGAAACTGTAGAAAATCACAAAATGTGCTGAGAATTAAGAACATTAAGTTAGAGGAAAAACAACACTGGTTTCTGCATTACGAATTGACATAAGTATAGGTGATCAGAAGACTTTTTAATCAAATATTTCTATGAAAAGAAGGAAAATCTGATCAACTAATATTAAACTTTATCTTTGACTGAAACTTCTTCAGACAGGTGCACAAACATCAAATCTGTTGGAAAACCTATCACTCACAACACTCGGTCTTATACACAAGGAGCTTGGATGAAAGACCCACTAGGAATCATGGGTGCTGAGACCATATTTACCATGGAAAATTATTACGCAAATGTTATCCAAGCGTTTGAAAACATGGAAAAGTTCAAGGCTGGTGTGGTTCACAAGACTTATTCTCTGCCTTATTACTTTGATGGAACTGGAGCAGTAGTGTACGGACCATACCTCTACTACAACAGGTGAAATATTTCATGGTTTCCAGCTTTACCTAACTTACAGTTAGAAAAGAGACTTTTGACTTGTTTTACAGATAGATAGATTCAAAACACTTGTTTTAAAGATAGATATTTGTTTACAGGGGGGTTTCTTCTCATTGAAAATTGAAACATTCTGCAGTAGGAGAATTTAAGTAGAAATTAGTCCCATCTGATGAATCATTTGTTATTTATCTTTTGATGACAGAGCCAACTCAGCTTATATCATCAAGTATAATCTTCTCACAGAGCGTGTGGAGGCTCAAATTAGATTAGGCGGCTTTTCAGCGCGAAGGAACTACTATTGATGGGGTGGATATAGTGGAATGGACTTAGCAGTTGACGAGCAAGGACTGTGGGTTCTTTGGGGAAGTACTGGAAACAGTTATCGTTTGTACGCATCAAAAATAGATGTGCGTAAAAATGCAGTCACCCACACATGGAGCTTGAGTACAGGTAAGTATGTAACACGAAGCTATGTTAACAGAGACGAAACCATAAAATAAAAGAGAACGAGTTAATGAGGTGGGGATATTTTAGGCGAATCTCAGTTAAGGGCGATTAAAGAATAAGCGATAGAATGACTAACCCCACTCCAAGCACAGGGCAGCAACTGAATTAAGGACACTTAGTTGAAAAAGGCCTTAGCTTTCTACTTGAGCATAAAAGACACAAATAAATTAAATTAATCGTAAATGACCAATAAATGATGACAAAAAAGAAACTATCCTCACAGACGAGGAGCAAGTAAAGAAACTGTAGATAAAGAAGCTTAAAGTAAGTCAAGCCTTGACAGAACTCGAACCGTTGCCTTCCTAGTTGACTTTACACACACGTGAGCTATGGTATCTGATCACAAACAAAAGAAGTATTTTTTCCACAAGTCAGGAAATAAAGTAACATATTAAGCCAATGCGCATCTTTGCCAAATGAATTTTGTCGATTTTGTGTTTAATTTTGACTCTTCTTTTCTACGCGCAGAGAGGATGTCCTATATGGGAAATGCTTTTGTGGCCTGTGGAGTGATTTACTGTATTGACGAATACAACAGCAAAACCACTACCATCAACTTTGCCTATGACACCAAGACAGGGAAACAGTGGATTCCCAACATAAAGTTCACAAACCAGTATGGTTACAACTCTATGGTGGACTACAACCCCACAGAAAGAGTGCTGTACGCTTGGGACAACAAACGTCTTGTTACCTACCCTCTCACCTTTGAGGAACAGTAGATTGGTGCAAAATTTAAAAAGAGAATAATCTAAGTGATATGTGAAACTTTTCGATTGATTTACTTTAAAATTTAAAAAGAGAATAATCTAAGTGATATGTGAAACTTTTTGATTAATTTACTGCTTTGTAGATGCACTTGCGAACGAAATAAGCTAACATTACAATTGGCATTTTTAGTCTTACAGACGCAAAACCTTAACTCAGCTGTTTTGTCTCCTGATGGCTCGAGCGTAGATCTTTTGATAGAAGATATTTTTCAACTTGCTTCAATCATTTCAGCTGCGATTGTATGACTTTAATCAAGGGTTTTAAATTCTGAAAAAGTGCTCTTTGTAATCAAAAGTTGTGAAAATGCAGAAGAGTCTCAATCTTTGAATTGACTAAACTTTCTATCTCTTTTGGTTTTGAAAAATAAAATGTGGGAAATGGCATAATAGTTGTGATTGTCTCATTTATTTGCAGTACAAATTTCAAAATCGACTTAATTTTTGTTCACTACATTTTACTTACCTTGAAGACCAGTTGTTATCATAAATGGCAGAGAACAGAGGGATAGCTTGTTAGAAACAACAATTTGGAAGTTACAAGAAAAAAAATCAGTCCTTAATGTCAAGCAGTGTTGTGTCAGTTCAAGTGGAGATCATATCCTTGTGTAAAAATTTACAAAAATTCAAACAGTTTTCTTTCTTTTTCCAAGAACAAGGTTACTCTATTGTACCTGGCGCGAGATTGTGGCTTTGGAAAGTATATTTTTACTTATGAAGGAAATGATAGTCGATAATTTCATTTCTAATTAAAAATACCAAGCTTCATTGGAATAATACTAGTTTTCCTTTTCACGAGATATGTTCCGTGGTGACCTGAAAACTTTGCGATTAGCCTTCTAGCACCTCTTAGGACTCGTAGGTGCTAACAAAGCTTCATTGACTCCCCTGAATAGTCATTTTGTTCATAAACTCAAGTGAAATGATGACATTCAGCAGAGGGTTGTGCATTGATTTATGATATTTTTTTTCAAATATGACTCTCAAGCGTTAAAATTTGTGAGGCCTCAGTTTCATATGGCTGAGAGCTTTTACATGTCTTTAAAGTCTGAGAGATCATACTCACAATTTAAATATGTCCAAAATGAACCAGAAATAATTTAGGTAGCAAAAAGGAATTGTAAGAACACAAGATTCAATGCAGGGTATCTGACTGCATCAAAGCATTCTACATTAGATTTTCTTACACTTCCACTGCCAGTTCTTATTGCAATGTAATTTAATGCAATTTCTATTGTAATTTTAGGGCCTAGCTAGCCATGGAAGATTTCAAAATCATGTCCCTAACCTAACCCTAAACTCTAAATCATGTCTGACAAACCCCAACAAGTCTCCACAAAAACAAATGGGCTTTAAAACCATTACATTTAATGTGGCTTATAATAATCACATATCGCGTACAAATGACATATTACACAAAATGTGTGAACAGTTACATGTATCAAATGCAAAAATTGCACAATTTCATTATCATTTTCACATGGCATTTCGAGGCTAAATTCACTAAATTCTACTTCTACGGATTCCAACAGTAAAGTCCGAATGATCTAATTGCATACAAGCTCACTAATTAACCGCAAAAACATCAACACCTGCTGCCGTAGTAAAGTACGTGACAATGCAGCGCTTCCACCATTTCCAATTCTGGTAATCGCGAAGACAAGAAATACATGATGCGATAGCTCTGTGATCGCCTTCAACGCATTCTATCGAACAGTGACTGTTTCTAGTTGTTCAATTCTAGATCGTTTCATCGAAAATAATGATGTAAAACGCTCAAGCTAGTCCACAGTTCACCAATTCGACCTCCATTATACTTTGCTTTACAGAGCAGTCGTTCCTACCTGTGTATTCACTGATTCAACACAAAATGATTATGTCACATATTCCTTGATGATAAAACCCAAGTCATGTCGCCAAAGTATTCTGGAGAGCTTAAAAGAACTGAATATTTCACACGACAGCAATTCGCCATGCGAGGAAATCAAGTATAATACGCCTTAGAGGGGACTCAATTGATTAAAACGGTTTTTTTAGAACGCCTGCAAGGAAACCAAGTAGTTATATTTAGGGATTGCATAAGTGTCCAGTGTTTTCGTGCTCTCTTTGAGGGAGTGCATCATGCGCAAAGTGTAGAATCACGTGTAGAGTTATGTAAAGCGATCCATTTTTTTCACAGGAGTTCGATTCTAGAACCAAAAAAAAAATTAAGCTGTAGAGAGTTTAGAATGTGCTTTCGGGAGACATCGTCCCCGTGAAGCAATCAAACAAAGGACGCACGCGCGCGTAACACCTAACGTTAGCGCTGAAACGCGCGCCATAGTCTAATTTCAATTCAGTCTTGTTGGCAACTACACATTACGACGTACTATTTTCGCCTTGTATTTTCAGAAATTGATCTCAAGTAGCTCACAGGAGTAATTGCTTCTCTGTTAAGCTGTTTAACTGAGTTATAAATTGGCCATCGTTTAGAGATTATAAAGCTGACATTTCGAGTGTTAACGCTTCGTTGGAGCGAATAATAGACATATAATATAAACGAACTCATGTCAACTTCAGTTGAATTGTGAAAATAAGAATGAGAAGTGCGAGTGACGAAGCACTTTCAGCAAACCTTTCGCGTATTTTTCGGTATTGTGTGAGACAAAACCTTTCAATTTTCTTTTCAACTTGCTTACCACTAAGGCCCTACGGCCACATCAGTTTGTAAAAGACTTGAACGTGTTACTTTTGCAAGAAGCATATTTTAATTCATCAACGTCAGTTAACACAAGACTCAATGCTTTACTCAATAGAGGTTGTCAGCTTAGTGACACTTGTTTACGACGGTTTCATCTATTTGTTATGGCGGTTTATTTCTGTCATTGTCGCGTTTTGTAATCGTGGAAGACACCAGGAACATAAGACAGCTGGCAAACATTGTAAAGTTGCTTACTCTAGGTCATCATTGCATGACAATAAAAATATTCAAATTCCGTGTCTCTAGCGTTAATTCTGAAGGCAAAATTTCACAAACTGTCTACTTTTGTGATCTCTGTTTAGCTGTTTTGTCGCACAGATTGTAAATTCTAAGGCAAATTACAGAAATGCGAACTTTCGCATAAGTTTGTAGAAACTTGATTATCTCCTAAATAGCCACGACTTCAGTTTTTCGAGAAAGTTTTGAATGCCTTGTTTAATACAGTTTTATATATAATGTATGCATGTCAAAGATGTTGTCACTAAGAGTAGCACACACTTTATCTATGTGGACACTGCTTGCCTTTACTCAAGAGGAACTAGTAACTTTCGTTGAGGCCAAATCTAAAGCAATGCTTTCTCTTTCGGCGTGTCGAGAAATTCAGGCCAATTCACAAACAGAAATCAAAACACTGGAAAATATAAAATGTCAATTTTTTAAGCAATTTTGTATTTTTAAGTTTACTTCTTATTTTCTTTCTTTATTTCGTTTGGTTTAAAAGCCCACTAAAATTTTAAAACGCGCCTTTAAAAAAACATTTTCAATTATAGTCAATTTCATCCTTAACCTCTCTGATATCTAATAACTGCTATTTTCCAACGATGGATTGCATTTCCAAATTGTAATCGCCGTTTTGATGCCTTCTTTTCGCTTGCAAACCGTGCTTGTTTATGGACGAATCTACCGAAGCCATTACATTATCGAGTGATGTTAAGATTCTCAGTTTTGCGAGACTACCAAGAAAGCGCTGCTGTAGATTTCATTGTGCCGAGTTTCTATTTTCAGTTCTTTACTTTCTACTGATAAAAAATGCAGATCAAGGTTCAAATGAAATAACGATTAAAAACTTTTGTGACGAGACCGGCGAAAGGAGTACTATACCACCGATCTCAGTTCTGATGTAGAAGCCCCTGGTAGGACTTTTTAAGTGCTTTCGTTTGCCTTAAGGAAGTCGAAGAGAGATTCATTCGCACATCTCTCCGTCATTATGCGTCTAATCATTGCTGTTAGTGCAGCGAGGAGGTGTTAATGTAGTTTGTGCTGCCGTTCCGCCGCGGCGGCCTGGTTGAATTGTGCATATCAAATCCAAATTTGCTCGGAGTCAAACGTTTAGGGCCGTTTATTTTACACGAGGTCTAACCCAAACCGCGGTTTTACGCAAGTAATAGGCCCCTCTATAAAAGGGTTGATTTAATATGATAAATGTCCTTCCACTGGTAGCTTTCGGCCCCTTTGACACTGTTCGCAGAATAAACGTTCAGATAAAAGCTTCGGCTAAATTGAAGATGGCGATTTTGTTAAACAGCGGCTAAACTTTGTCTATATAACCGGCCCTCGATGTTCAAAACTAATGCAGGACGGTTACAGCCTTGAGAGCAAACCTTACTCCTGAGCAGAATCGGTTTCTAAGTAGGAATTGACGCCCTTTAGAATGGAAATCGCCAATAGTTGGAATTTTGTTTCACAACCGTACCATTTCAGCTTGAAAGATGAAAGCGAAAACTACAAGAAAAGCCATTCAATTTGTGCAATAAATGAGACTATTTTTGAGTGTTGGAGATGACAACTTTAAGCAATCTAAAGTGAAAAGCGTCTATCAACGTTCTTAGGTGGCAACTGCTGAGTCGCATCAGCATATATTCAGTCGATTACCGTATTTAATTACTTATAAGCCGAGCTTGGCTATAAGCCGAGCTTGGCTACAAGCCGAGACCCCAGACTTAAGAGACACAATAATGGGCGTAAGCTTTCGAAAATAAAATTGGAAAAGTCCCGACCATGAGCCGAGACCTAAGTTTCACAGCAGAGTTTAATTGAGTGTACACTCAAAGTCATTTAAGAAAGCGCTCCACTCATGAAACATGTCGAAAGTTATTGTGTCAAATGAATAAGCATGAAAAGTCAAACAAGAAAATCATATCTTTTAGAAACAATGAAATGCACTTTGTTTATTGTAAACATTTAGTGAACCAGTGCGATCGTGAATACTAATTGATCCAAACTGAACCATAGAGTAACTCATTGCCACAAACAACCGCTTACCAAAGTCAATA